TCTCTCTCTCTCTCTCTCTCTCTCTCTCTCTCTCTCTCTCTCTCTCTCTCTCTCTCTCTCTCTCTCTCTCTCTCTTTCTCTCTCTCTCTCCCTCTGTCTCTCTCTCTCACACACACACAGACACACACATAAACACACACACACACGATCATTTTTTGCAGCAGCGCCACAAAAACCATGTGCAGCCGAATTTTTGGCGTGAGGATACGAATCCTCCTCGGAGGCGGCCATGCGCAGCCACGGCCGGGGCTGCGCCCCCGAGGCCATGGCCACATGGGCACGTGGCGGTCAGTGGGGGAGGGGAGGTTGGGTTTTGGGCTGTGTGAGCATTCGAACGGGCTGAGCGCGCATCTTGTTCGAACGCCCACGTTCAAACGGGAGGGTGTCGAGTTCAAACGCGCCACACGCCACGTGGCACGAAAAAATTCAACACGACTCACGCCCCGTGCGCACGCGTCAGGGACTGGGGGGTGGTGGGCCTCATTCTCTGAAAAACGTACCTAAAACAAATTAACCCTGCTGCCCTCCCCCCCCCATCCCCCCCAAACCCAAACACCCTGCTCGGCCACCCAGAAGTGAAACCGCACCAAGCCCCAAATCCCCCAAGTGCGCCCACCCCCAAACCCCCCTAACCCCTAGTCGCCTCCCCACCTCTCCCCCCCTAACGCTCTCAATTAATCCCTCAATACCCCACTTCCCAAACCTGCAGCCCAGAAGCGGTGTCCATTGCCTCGAGCACAGGCATCCAAGAACCCGCCTGAAACCCAACGACACTGGCAATTAAAACCCACCCACTACGCCCAGGCCACCCCCTGCCCAAATTGGCGGTGTGTGGGTGCATACCATGGCTGCGGGCGACGGGAGCAGCCATCAATCCCAAATATAAGCCATACCCTTGATGCAAATGCTACGGTGTGGTTTATATTCAGGATTATTGGGGGTTCTGATCACCCCCAACGATGCTATACACCCACACATCGCCTTTTTGGATGCGCTCTGGACCTATGGTGGGGTTGCGTCTAGTATAGTTTGGGGGGTTGGGGGGTCGAGGGGGTAGGGGAGGGATAGTTTCACACGGTTTTATAGTTATATGAAAGACATCACTCGAGTGGTATAGGGTGTTTGTTTTTCTATTGCATTTTTAATGGTTGATTTATTTGTTTCAATTTTGTTCCTTTTTGTTTTTTTTTGGTTCTAATTGTTTTTGTGGTGTTCTTTATTTCAATAATCCTCATATTCATCAATTACCAAACTTAACCATGTATTCATCAATTCAACTAGTCATACAAGTTGAAGTGGGATTTGTGAGAGAGCAGGAATTTGTCGATGCACAAATCTATCCAGTTGTCAGTCCATTCATGTAGACAAATGCAAGTTGACACATTGTTCTTATCGAACGTAGTAACGGACCACGAAAGTAGTGAGGAAAACTTGGAAAAGCATGATAAAGGCACATGCAACACTCATCATCCAAAAGACAACAACACCACAAATGCCAACATACTATAGAAAAAAAAACAGAAATCAGTGTAGCATGGATAATAGCAAAATACATCTGCCACGTAGTGTCGAACACCCGCCCTACTGTTTATCTCTGAGTATCGAGTGAAAACATGTGTGAACTGCACAAAAGATACCAACTAAAAAGTACACTATAATACAACATCACGAAACACTACTCTAATGATGGAGAACAAAAAAGTAAACTACATAAAGAAAGAAAAGAAAATGGAAGTCAGTTGACTGTCAACGATCGGCGTCTGCAACTGAATGTTGTCTGGACCGATGCGAAGCTCGTCCATGTGTCCGACCAGTGCCACGTGGTCGGCCCCTCCGACGCTGCCTGTTGAATCCAGTAGTGGAAGGCTAAGGAGGGTCGTCAGGGTCGTCGCCCATAATAACTCTCTTGCCTTTGATTGTTCCGGTACTTACGGCTCCTACATCAACATGTCGGAGGGAATCATGACACATAGGTAAACCGTCTGCCTCTGAAGTCCCCTCCTCTTGGCGTCGATCTATTGGCACGTGTCGGGCCTGCCCAGCCCGTCGAACAACTTCAGACTTCTCTAAAATAATCGATGCCTCTCTCAAACCGTACATATGCGGCGGCTCTACTGCCTCTCCCTCGACACCGCTTGTACCCTCATGTGTGCCCCGCGTGTCGCCACTATCCCCGCCTCTACTGCCAAACCCAGATGCCACAACATCTTGACGACTCCCGCTCGTAGAAACCCTTCCTTAATCCGGTTGACGACTGGTGCTCGCCAACGCCACCCGTCTCGTCCCACTCCATGGATGATCAGTGCGACCAAACAAAATCGTGTCCCGTCCATGGTCATCGTGTCTCTGTCTATGGGCAACAAACCTCAGGGTCTGACTACCACTCAACTCAGCAACTACACTCAGGGTTGACAATAGGCCTGCTCGCCCGTAAGAGGGCGCTGCGATAGAAGCTCCAGAAGGTAAGCTTGGGTTAGCGGGTGTGCAAGACAAGTTCAGCATGCGAGGCAGAAAACCCTCCGGTGGAGGGCCCAGGAAGGACGAGTGTCAATCTCGGTGTAATCCGTTCCGTCGTGCGCTTCCAACTCGTCAGCAGTCATACAATCGAATGCAAGGGGGCCACGAGGCTGAGGTACATACCTCGAATGTATCCTCTCTCGTGACGGTGCAGAAGGCGGGATCGGAGGTGGGCATATGCCCCTGCCTATACGTCCCTCTACGACAGAGATAACTTCATTTGCACGACGCCTCGAATCAACTGGAAATGGTGACCGATGTGGCACCACCGGCCCCACAGTTGTGCGCACCACCAAAGTCCGTGACGCCTCCTATTTATCTCTATCATGCCTATCAAACGCCTCCTCTCTGTGCTGAACCTCGCTATCGATATGTGCATGGTGACCCCCCCCCAACTGTGGACACTGAATCACCCTGAACTTGCTCCTCCACCCCCCTAACATAAGTGTCTCCCACGACGTCCCCCCCCCCCCCCCCCCCCCCCCCTTTGGTCCGTGCTATCCCCTCTGCCTGTGCCAATAGTCGAATAACATCAATGCCCACAAACTGACCCATTTGTATGTCCTCCAGACCCGCGGACATGTGCATGGGGCCCTCAACCAAACCTGCTCATAGAGCCATGCCCGCGGTCTATAGCAAAGTGTCCTTGGTTAACCACCACACGGAGGTCCTCGGGGGTGCGAATCCCGTCTCGTGCAACCCCTGCTGAACATGCTCTGCCGTCACATTCCGTCCCATCCTCGACACCTCAACTAAAGCCGCCTTCCCCTGCATCCTATCGCGATGCTCTGTCGGCGGATCCATATGGACAGTCGGCTCTGCCTCAGGGGGCATCGGCAAAAATACCCCCAACTGTCTCTGTCGCTTCCCGACCGCAACACGGGCTAACTCCTGCGTCCTGTGGTCGCCTCGTGCCATGAGGAAAGCTCGGCGATTATCAAGCCTGTCCAACCTCTCTCTAGATGTCAATTCAGGGGGTGTGATGTCCTCATCTCTGTGTGCCTCCGGTGGCGACACCCCCAACTCTCCGCCTATGTGGCCGCGGGCATTTCGGCCGCTGCGGTCTTAAAAGTAGGCCTCGGCCCCGGCCCAAAGGGCCCAGTCCGTGGCCTGTTTTTTTTAATAATTTGTTTTTACCCCTAAAAATATGTTAACAAAAAAAATCAAAAAACAAGGGTGTAGGGCTTGGAAAACCCTACAATCCTGTGTTTTTATTTTGCAATCGGACTTCGTTTAGGATTTAAAAAAAATTAAAAACAAAACTCGATTTAAACAAAATATTTAGAAATAAATAAAGAAAAATAAATAAAAAAATTGTCAATTTTTATTATGAGGGATATGGTCCCTGAGTTGTGCTGTATTTTTTTTCAAAATGAATTTCGGTTTTTTGTAGGTAAATTAGGTGTTTAAAAATAATGAAGATGCAAAAATTGAAAACAAATGAACAAAAAAAGGGTTTGATTGATTGATTGACTTATTGATTGATTGATTGATTGATTGATTGACTGATAAATTGATTGATTGATTGATTGATTGATTGATTGATTGATTGATTGATTGATTGATTGATTGATTGATTGATTAATTTGCTTTGATTGATTGATTAATTGTATGTGTGTGTGTGTGTGTAGGGGATGTGTGCATAAAACACGACCATCCCATTCAGAATGAGACACTAGATATTGTCGTTACGTCCAACGTTAGGCAAGGGGGGAAGGGGTGTAGCTAGGTACAGGATACATCAAGGCACATATTAGATAGGGAGCAGGTTAGCAAAGTTAGAGTTAGTAGGTTAGCAGTGGTTAGGAATGGGTATGCGGACCCAACCGTAGGGGGGTGCACGCCCTGAAGCACACTTTTCGTCGCTTAGCACCCATAGCAGCTCATCAAAGGGATTAGTCGTTAGCAAGGCTCCAATTAGCACAACGGGTGGTAGGGAGTTGTAGTCAGGGGGTTGTGGGAATACACAACATGGGCGAGCTTTTGCGGTGTCATAACTGGAGAAGCGGCAAAGTTAGTCGCTGTCGTAGCTGCCATAGTTGTCGAGCTTCTGCGTAGCGATGGATCAGAAGCTCCATTGGTCGAAGCACAGATTGGCCGTCCCAAGAAGGTGCCTTGCCCACCGCAGACAGATGGTTCGCTCACCTGGTTGCGTAGTATAAGGGGGATGAGGAGAGGCAAGATGCAGAAGATGGTGGGATGAGGAAGTTCTTCTCATGCGTAGAAAATATGAGTCGGAATGCTCCGTAGCGCTGGTGTAGTCATAGGTAAGCTGTTGTAGATAGTAATGCAGGCAGGCTTCATTATATCTTGTTATGTGAGGTTTGTAACGGGTATAGTGGCGTTCGTGTGTATAAAATAGCTTAAATGTTATTGTTTTTTTTTTAATTATTTTAATTAAAAAATTAGGTCGTCGAAAGACGATATTCGTTTTGGTTCGGTAAAACAGGGCATATTTGGTAGGTTTTAGGGGTTTGTGTAGGTGTACAGGTTATGCTTGTGTGTGATCGGTTGTAGTACAATTTACGGGGTCTGGCCGTAGGTGGGGTGATTATAGTTTTGAACTTTAGTGGCATATTTGTTTTGCTTTGTAGTTCCCGCGTAATGTTATTGTCTTCTTCTTTCTCGTCGATAAACTTTAGAGCTCGGCGATGGTCAGTATTTTAGATGGGTTGCAGTCTACTTGGCTGTTTAAACAAAGTGGCATATTTCGTTTGTTGAGTTTTTTTGTCTTGGTTTTCAGATGCTGATCTTCATGGGGATACTTCACGAGTTTTTGGTTTTTTGTGTATCTTTCTTTGCGGGGTGTTGCTTTGCCGTTTCATTTTTTGTTGTCGTATCTGTTTCCTTTTCTTCATTTTCGTGTCTACGCATGTGTTCCGATTTTTATTATTATTCATGTCCCTTAGTTTTTCTTGAACGAAATGTTTGCATTATGTAGCGACCTCGGCTAGGTGGTATTGTCTTCATCAGGGGTTTGTACTTGCGGGTGGTCGTATCGATGTACGAGTGGGGGTGTATGTGTATTAAGTTCTTATGTGTAGGTAAGTGTTCAGTGGTTTGCTGTGTACGTTTTTTTAAGGGGTGTTTTAATAAATTTGATGATGGGTGGTACTGGAGTGTTGTATTATTCTTCAGTTTAATTGGTTTTTCTCAATATAAATCGCGCCGTGTTTTTCATCAAGTATGTTGTTTTATCTGTAAGTGTACTTAGTGGTGTGTTATGCGTTATTCTTGGGGGGTTCTGAGTTGTTTTTTGTGAGGTACAACTTGTAGCACAGGTTTTTCATTACTAGTCAGTCGGCATCTGTAATTAATTTATTTTTTTGCATTATATTTACATAACTGGTTTATAAGTATATAGTTCCGATAACCTTTTTTTTTTCGAGAATTGAATATCCATATTCTTGATACGTTGTTGCCTTGCTTAATCTATACTAGACGGTTTTGCGAAAGAATATGTATTTTTATTCAATATTTATTTTTGCTTTTAGTTACCATATTTTATTATTTATATACTCTTATTCTATTTTTTTTTAATTATTATTATTATTATTATTATTATTATTATTATTATTTTTTAATTATTTTTTATTTTATTTTATTTTATTTTATTATTTTTATATTTATATATATATATATATACAGGGTTGCCAGGCCGAACGTACGGAGGCCCCTAAGTTGACCCCTGAGCGTTCCGGCGTTCGGTTCCCCGTACGGGGCCCGAACTCGAAGGGGTTTGGACCCCGCAAAAAAATATTTTGGTACGTAAAAATTATTTTTTTTTTTCTGATTTGTTTTCTGCGAGTTCTCTGTGTAGGCTATCCGTCTCTCAATTTTGAAGTCATTATATTGCGCCAAACAATAATGTAAAATCAGCAAAGATGGTGGTGTCAAAACTTGCTTTCCCACTTACTAATTTGTTTTTTTTCTCTTTTCATTTTTTGTTTTCGTTTTATTTCGGGGCCAGAAAAAAATATTATTTTTTCAAACTTTATTATTAGGTTTTCTATTATATAAGATACATATGTATAAAATTTCATGGCACTTGACAGATGCAAAAAACAATGAAAAATCGCCAAAAATTGCGGTGTCAAAAACTTGCTCGCCCACACAATAATTTCTCATTTTATTTTTTTTTATTTTCATTAATATTATTTATTTTTTGTATTTGATTTTTATTTCAAGTTTGGTAAGGAATTTGGATGTATTGTCGAGGCAAGTGTTGTTAAGTTTATTCTTCTGCATAACGTACGTTTTTTTTCGAAATTGTTGGAAACTTTTTTTTTTTTTTTTTTTTTT